TGTTCTCACACACAAAATTCAACCTTTGGTGTCTCTTTTTTTGGGGTGGGAAGAAAAGAAAATCATGCCTCCTAAGAAATCTGCCAGTTCCTTTGCAGCTTCGCACACATACACATATATAGTCACACACAGACACACTCACAGAAAGCCTTGGATCTTCTCTGCAAGATTGCATTCTCACACAGAGACAAGTATTGAGCGGTGTGCAAATAGCCCAGTGAAGACAGACAAAAGGCCTTGCCAGCAGAGATAGGAACTTAATTCTCATCTATTTTTCATGGAGGATCTCGTGCAAACAGCAGGCTGAGTGTCCGTCACGTTAAATGTGATCAGTAAGTCAAAAGCATACAGCTTTCACTACATTTCCAATGAAGGAATTTGACGTCAGCGTCAAGGCAAAGGCACTGGGCGCGACTACGGAAAACGAGAAAACTCATGTTTGAGTGAGAAACATGCAATGTGAGGATGTTTTGTGAAAGACTCCATGCTGTTTATCCTAAATCACAGCCTTGCAAAGAAATTAGTTTTACAAATCAGTGCAATTACAGTAAAATCTGTATTTATCCATTCAGGTCTGACAACGTGGGGTCAGGAGAAAAGAATCTTGGTGTCCATGTTTTGTTTCCAATATAACGTGTTTCACATGGAAAGCTTCCTTGGAGTTTGTTCACCCAGTTGATTATGGTTTGTTTTGTGCTCTAAATTATGCTTTCCCCCTGTCATTTGTTCAATCATACTTGTCTCATTCATACCTGTTTTTATCCCACTCATCCCCAACTCTTTTATATTCTCAACCCACCAATCACCCTAATCCCTACACCTTCTCATTGGACTCATTTTCCTCCTCCCTGCTCTATACCAACCACACACCCTCCTCATTCTTCTTCTCTATTCTTCATCCAACTCATCTTCATCATCCCTAACTTGTAATGTTTCTCAATTCAATCATCAAGATCCTTCTCATTTCTCATCCATTTTCATTCTACACATCCTCCTCATCCTTTACCTATTTTCTTTATCCAACCTACATGTAAGTTTCACATCTCTTTTGCTTCTCATGACACATTCTCCTTCATTTTCATTACTATTCCTATCTTAACCCACCTATCCTCCATATCACTCATCTCTACCCCTTCTCATTCTATTTACACCTTCATTTATCATCCCTACACCTTTGCATGCCACTCACCCAACTCATTTATGTATCATTCGCCAACTCTATCCAAACCATCCTCATCCCTATTCTTTATCCTATAACTCTTCCTCCTCTAATTCATACTGTCTCTCATTTCACTAATCTACTTCATTATTCTCATTGGACTCACCCTTACTCATTCCACCAATCTTCCTCATCCTTCATTTTTATTCTTCCTCCTTCCCCCTTATTGTGTATCATGATGCACATACTCCTCAGTTTTGTTCACTACCCCTGTTTTAACCCACTCAACCTCCCTACCCCTCATCTGTACCCCTTCACATCTTACTCACACCCTCATTTTTCATCTCTATTCCTTATCATGCCCCCTCACCTTCCTCATTTCCATATACTTTCTAATTCCACCTATTCTTACTGCAGCTATCCTCCTTATCCCTCATTCTTCTTTATCTAATTTACCCTCCTCTTGTTTTACCCTCACACCTTGTAATTCCAACCATCTGCCTCAAACTTCATCCCCCCCTTCTCATCCCACTTATCTTATATTCATACTCCCTTTCATCTCATTGTTCATCCTCTGTATTGCTCATTGAAACTCCTCCTAAAAATTACATATCAAACAACTCAATGGTGGGTTTCAAGCACAGGTAAAAAAAACAGCCTAGGCATGTTTTAATGTGCTACATGAAACACATCCAATGCAAATCTTGGTATGAACTGTCTGATTCAGTCAAATAATTTCAACACCTTATCAGAATGGGTCGAAGTAGGCCCAACCAGATTCCTTAGGTTAGCCTTTATCTTCAAACCCACTCATACCTTCATCTTCTCCCCGTAACTCTGATTAAACCAATAAACTTGTATTGTAGGGATTTGGTCATGCCGGCAAAATTCAGGTTAAATTCACTCAAAAGTCATCTCATGTTTGGAAAAGTGCCACAGAACAGCTCTGACATTCAACCACTTCTTCTTCGCCTGTGTCCCCTGCAGGCACCGATTCCTGTCAATCTAATATCACCACAGGCAAGGCAAACATGAGAAGTCTTGGCGAAGCCTGAACTCAGCCACTGAAATTCCACCTTTCACCTTCAAATAGGGATTTTGTGACAGGTGTCAGAAAGTGATTTAAGACAGACTCGGTAATAACTTAACGACAGCCCAAAGTTCCTTTTGACACAAGGAAAATGAATTACCCAGAAACACAGAATGAGACATCTTGATTTCATATGTCTGGACATGTTAAACCTTTTTTCCCCCAGTCATTTGGTCAAATTGACGTTTATCTACCAGTCTCTCAGCTTTCCATTATTCAGATTCATTCAGCTGAAAAACTTTTCACCACATCTGACTCCATTAAAAACAGACACAGAAGGGAGGAGTTTCTCTGTGGAGACTCTCCGAGCTATAAGTCTTCCTCTCATCCCAGGTCATCACTGGATAAAGCTAGGAGACAATGGCTTTAACTGAGGAATGCTGTGGTTGCTCTAAGGTTTGGGCTATTTTGGCCAAAACCTAGCAACTGTCTGCCACAATACAGACTTATTCTGTTGCACAACTTTACTTGGCCAACTAACGTTACTGGGATACATATATATTTTATTAAATGCTACTTCTGTTTATTTGATTTGCTCAATCAACGCCAGCATATTTTTTCATATATTTGGTTTATAACTTTTGTCACAGTTTGACATTTCCTAGTTTCCTTCCTCCTTATTTCAAAGGACATAATGGTATTAGATCAAATACATTTTTACAAAATCTGAGTCTCAGATAAACAAAGGTGTTGCACCGACATTGTGCACACATCCAGCATTTTGGTTTGCTCACTATAAATCACAATACAAAACAAACTGTCAGCCGACAGACGTAGCAGTAACCACACACAGTCTGAGTGTGACTGTTGTGACTGTTGGTGATCCAGGTTAGCTAAATATATCATAAAATGATGTGTTAAACCCCTAATTTGGTTTTATGGTATTGCAAAGTGTATATGTACTCATGTGTGGTAAAGGAGACACGTCAAGAAGCATCCAGTTTGAATTGGTTCAGTTCTGATTCAGATCCAACCCTCCTAAAAACCTTCAAATCTTCAATACAAGAAGTCACTGGGTGCACCGTCAGTACAGTTCGACTTCAATCTTCTTGTGTATCGCACCGTATGTGACACTCAGTATCCTAAAACTGACAGTCAAAACTTTACTCATTGTCTGGTCTTGAGTCTTGTAGGTGTTTAATACCAAACAAGCTCAGCTAAATGAAAATGGGATGGAGAATAAAGTTCATTATTATGAATTAGGTTAATGAGACTCATCTCAGACTATCCATACTTTCCGCTTTAAAAGTAGCACCGCCATATGAGTCGCATCAGTCCAATTATGTCTAATAAAGTGGGGAAAAAAAACAAATACGTTGCTTCGTCTTATAAGTTGAATCTATTATGTGTCACCGCTGACCGCCCCGAAAGGTGGGCCGGAGTTGTGCCAAAAATCGATTGGCTGCCACAGGAGCATGCATGGGAGGATTTAACAAGAATTTAACAAGATTAACACTTAAAAACAATTATTTGCTTGCTCGACATTATAGTAAAGGTGTGCCTCAGTTGAACTTTTCCTTAATAAATGCACTTTAATGGTCAAATCAGCTGCATTTCGCCTGGCCAGCGTGGCAAAATGCAGCTGATTTGAAGTTTGCTCCAGGAGTTCCAGAGCGAGACAAAGGTGGCCTGTATGGCAAGCCATGTGTCTCATTAATAGCCACTTTTACCTATTAATGAGACACTTGGCTTGCCATATTTCTCGAGGGCCCTCTAGTGGCTGAAAATGGTAGTGTTCAATATTTTCCATGTCAGAATGAATGAAATCGTCAGATCTCAGCCAAAAATTGGGTTATAAATATGTGGGAAAAAACATAAATTAGTCGCTTCGGACTATAAGTTGCAGGACTTGCTAATTTATGCAACAAGACATGACTTATAGTCCGAAAAGTATGGTAATCAGGTAATGAGTGAGGTCATGTACAACGTTTCCTACCAAGTTAAATGAACTGAAGAAAGTGAAAGTGTCAGTATGTGGATTGAAAAATAAAGAAAAATATGAAAACACAAATAAGAGAGTTCACTTTGTTAATTAAACAAGTTTCAATTTTAGGATACCTTGGAGAAGTGAACGATTTTGCTGCAACAAAAAGACCGTTTTTTTTTTCCATTGACTTTGGGCATTCTTGGCTTTTCCCTTTGACAGAGAGATTAAGATAAAAGGCCACCGAGAGGATTAATGGATTATAAAATATACTTCGTTACAAAAATCTGTCCACTGAAGAAAATGGCACAACATGGCACAGTACAATTCAGACATGTAACCTGATGAAAAAAAGATGATTCCCCAACAAGATCATTAGCATGAAAACAAACTTAAACAAACCTGTTTTGTTTTTTTCTTGCAAAAGCTAAAAGTGTTAGTCTTGTTTGGTGCTGAAGAGACTGGCACTAAAACTTCCTGCTTGGCACCATGACTGGAAGCCCTGGGAAGCATTATTTGTCTTGGCAGGACAAAGCCTTGTTTGGTGTCCCAAAATGCCATTCTTAAGTATAAGTGTGTTATAAACCCACTTCAGTGGGCTCAATGAGGAATCCTTTTGACTTCCAGTCCAAACATAAAAAGACCTACAAAGCTCTGTGAAAAAGACATAAATCAAGTATAAAATTGTGCATTGGGTTTGACTTGCTTCATGATTCATCATTTTAATGAAAATCCCACCTTAACCATGTTTAGCTCTCTGTGGTAAAGCCTTTGTTGGCCTTGCTGACCCTGGTGATGGCCCTCAAGTGGCTAGCAGGGTTACTTACGTTGTTGGCCTTTTGCTGTATGAGGGAGCACAGTGAGGAGAACAAAGACCAGCAGGGAGACACTCAGTCTGACTGAGAGCTGCATCCTGATACCAGCAGACCAGAGGACACCACGGACCTGAGTGCGAGGAGCACAGGAGGAGGAGGCGTGGAAAAAGGAGCAGGGGAAGACAGATGAAAGACAAAAAAAATGGAGGTAGAGATTAGTGACAGAAGAATGGAAGAAAAAAATGTTCCATATGGCTCCAAATATTATTGCATCTCACCCTGGATAACACTGAATCAAGTGTGAGAAAATGATTCTGCAGCTCACTGTGCACGGACGAATAAAAGACTTTATCACACTATTAAAAACTGAAATGCAGTTTAATTTGTTTTATTTGTTTGTATTTCGACAAAGCTCCTACACCTGAATTAAAATCAGTGAGGTTATGATTTCAACCTTTAATCAGTAAGACAAACGAGACATTTAATTAGGCCAAAGCATTATATTTTACAGGAAAAATAAAACCTAAGCAGTTTAAAAGAAGCTCAAATGAAGCGAAAACTATTGTAATGTGAGAAGATCAAGTAAAAAAAAAAAAAAAGTTAAATAAAAGGCAACCCCAAAATTCAGTTTTAAGTCATGAGCAAATAACTAAAACAATAATGTTAATTTTTAAGACAAAAACAGCTTTTAGTAGGGATGCACAAAATTGGATTTTTGGCTGTTATCCAATATGCCCATATGTTGAAACTTATTTGGCCGATAACCGATACCAATACCGATATATATATTTTCCTACGCCTACTTACAGAGACTACATAGCTTTCTCTGCTGTGGAATTAAAATACTACATTATTCTGCATGGTCTTTGTCAATTTGGCTTGTTACCAAATGTAGATGCCAAAAAAAGGGGCTGAAAATGATGTAACACTTCAACTTGGATTATGTTTAATGTCAAATATATTCATGACATTTACTCTCTCTGACCCAATGACAACACTCGAACAGTCATACAAAAACAGTGACTTATATATATATATATATATATATATATATATACAGTACCTTTTATGGGATTTACCTGTATAAATAAAGGTTGATTGATTTTATATCAGTGAATTATTTTGTTGGAATGGCCGATGGATGATGTTTAATTTTATCGCAACTATCGACCAATACCAATACTATGCCGATAATATTGTGCATTCCT